TGTATGCATGTACACACATTTGCATTGCGCCATTTGTACCGTTCGAAATTGAAAATTGAATTTATGCCAAAAATTCAACACTTACCACCGGTATGTGCCGTGTGGCATATGCCCCACCACATGCGGCAAATGATAAATCACAGTCAAGCTCCATGCTGTGTGGCCTGCGTCTAATGCCAGCAACTATGTATGTATCGTACATACATTCAGCAGCAATTAGGCAACTGTAAAAAAGTAGCAAAGCTTGCAATAATGTATCTACATATCTATGGAAGTGTAAGTTGAAAAGCTCTACAAGCACCTCTATCAATCTGAATATGCCCACCTGTATGTTCGCTTGTGTGTTCATAAATGTTCGTGGTTGATTTATGAGAGTTTAAGCCTACACATTAGGGTGGTCCAAAAAGGCATGTGAAAAAGTAAAGTCGGAATTTTTATGCGCTCTCCCCCTAGGATTGTTGTTTACCGAAAAAATATACCCCTATTTTTTATTTTGAAATCGAGGAATATTTAGAGCTCCCTCAAAGCGCTCAAAGTTTTCCATGTATTTTATATGAAAAAAAAAACAACTTATCGTAGAATTGCTTTAGAATTCTTAAAGATCAATATTTTTCTATCAAAACTCTGTTTCTCTGTTCTCTGAGATTCCCAATAATAATACCCAATTGTTTACTTAACCATTTTGTTCAAAGTAACTATAATTTATAGGTCCGCCAAATACCCCTGAAAAATGCAATGCGGAGACCAATAAAAAGCGTTTGTATTAAAAACAGGTCGAATAAAAAGTTGCGTATTATTATTGAAAGTATCCCGAAGAAAACCAGAGTTTTTCGATCGAAAAATATTGATTTTCATGAATTCCATACCATTTCTACGAAAAGTTTTTTTTCATATAAAATACATGGAAAACTTTGAGCGACCTCTAAATATTTTTTGATTTCAAAATAAAAATAGGGGTATACTTTTTTCGATATAGAACAATCCTAGGGGATGAGAGCATTAAAATTCCGGCTTTACTTATTTTAGACCACCCTACTGTACATACATATTTATGTATGTACATATGTTTGCTTTAGACTCCTAGTAACGGTTAGGAAAGGTGCAAAAAAATGTTATAATAAATGAGGCATTATTTATTTTGAAATATGATGTTTGCCGATTATGAAACAGATTTATTCGCATACGTATGTACATATGTGTGTAAATATATTAGGGAGATCCATAATATCTAACCTAAGCAATTTATGGCCTTAAAAGGACCTATTTACTGAGAAGGAAATTCTCTCATTAGAAAAAATATTTCTACCGATTTCAAAAGGTTTCGGTGGGATTTTGAAATTTTTCATGTAAATAACATGTTAGTTAGAGATACAAATTTTTCTAGGCATATTTTTGTAAAACATTAAATTCTCTAAAAATGACCCTGAAGTTGATTGTCTAGAAAAATTGACTCAGAAATGTGTATGCTGGCCATGAAAGTCGGAAAAAGCAGAAATATGCTGTTTGTTTATTTTATTTTTGGCAATATTTATGTTGCATGAAATAACTTAGCAATATGATTAACATATTTAATACTGTCAATCGTCTCTAAGACAACTCAGGGTAATTTTTTAGAGAATTTAATGTCCTACAAAAATATGAAAAGAAAATTTTACCTCAAACGGTTCAATAGTTATAAAATTTTGAGCGAAAACAAATTTTTTACGTGTTATTTGCTTGGAAATTTTTAAATACTCATCGACACCTTTCAAAGTTGAACAAAATTTTCCCAACTAAGAAATTCCCTTCTCAGTAAATGTGTCTTTTTAAGGCCATAAATTCGTTAGGTTAGTTATTTTGGATCACCCTA